GAACCCAGTGGGGCAAGGGAACCAGCAGGGGGCTCCGTGGGAGTTGGAGGGTGGCGGGGGAGGGTGGCAGAAGCTGGGGTCTGGGGTGAGCCTGGCCCGTCTCCCTCCTGGCAGGCGATTTCCCGGACACCATCCAGTGTGCGTACATCCACCTGGTGCCCCGCGAGGAGTGCGAGCGCGCCTACCCCGGCCAGATCACCCAGAGCATGCTGTGTGCCGGGGACGAGAAGTACGGGACGGACTCCTGCCAGGTGAGGCGCAGGGCCCCACTGGTTAGAGGCCAGGACGGAGACAGGACGGGAGGACGCAGACAGATAGGGCTTCCCTGGCCAGCCGCAGGGCCCAGCAGGAGCACAGTTCTCTGCTGCTGAAGCCCTGGGAGTCCTGGGTTCGTCTCCCGAGGCGGCAGCCCTCTGTACCTATGATCCGGGCTGGTGGGTGGCCCATAAGGACCCTTTTGGGGATACCTGCACACTCTTCTGTCTCATGGAAGAAATAAACCAATAAACTTAAAAAGACAGAGCTTTACAGAGACAGAAACAGCCCAGGAGAGACTGGAGGACAAGAAAAGACTCAGGCCAACCTCCAAGACACAGTCATGAACAGAGAGCTGTACAGACAGCCCACAGAGACAGGAAGTACAGAGACAAGGCTGGAGATGAGCGATCGAGACGCAGGAGGGGCAGATGGTGAGGAGAACCATCCTTCCTCGGGTGCAGGCCCTGTGAGCAGGCTTAGAGATGAGGGAGGGGTTCCAGCCCCACTCCCAAACCCCCGTATTTATTTACAATTATTTATTTATATCTAAAGTTATTTAATTTTTTAAATTTATTTTTTTAATTTGACTAGAAAGAGAGAGGGGAGCAAGTGAGAAAGCAGGACACCAGGTCCAGGGCTCATGGTCAGCCCTGAGGGAGCCCAGCACCTTACCCACCACACCACCTGCCGGCCCCAAGAATTATTTTATTTTATTTTATTTTATTTTAGTAGTAGTAGTATTTTTTAATTTGCTGTAGGGCACATACACTCACCAGAGAGAGACAGAGAAAGTGAGAAAGCAAGTCACCAGGTCTGGGACTCGAACCAGAGTTGCCTGTGTGAGAGTCCAGCCCCTTAACCACCCCACCACCTCCTGGTCCCCTTCTTTTTCTTTTTTTAAGATGATTTATTTAATTTTACTTACGATGATGATGACGTTTTTAAAGTTTGCTACAGGACGTATGCACGCACCAGAGAGCCAGAGAGAGCGAAAGCAGAAAGCCAGCAGCCGGGTCTGGGGCTCCGACACGCTTGGCCATGTGGTACCCACCTCGCCACCTGCCGGCCCCGGACTCTTCCTTATGCCCGAATAGCTCTGATGTATTGAGGGACACCCGAGGCCGGCCAGGAGAGCAGGGAGAGGAGACCGAGACCGCGCTAGACAGCGAGCTGGGAGCAAGGAGCTGGCCGGCAGGCAAGGCCGCTCTAGACGAGGGCCCGCGACGGCCAGGAGGGCGTGATGCCGGGCCCTGGCTCTTCTGTCTCCCCACCCAGCTCCCTGTGCCTCTCACGTCTCACTGCACTCTGCCCCCCTCGCCTGTCTCCACCCTTCGTAAAGTCTTACCTGTTACTGTTACTTCATTATTCTCATTTTGCTAGCGGGCACATGCTCTCAGCAGACAGAGAGGGGGAGGGGTAAGAAAGCAAACTGCCCGGTCTGGGCTTGAACTGTAGTCGGCTGTGTGGAAGTCCAGTGCCTTGGCCACCACACTACCTGCTGGCCCTCTGTTTCTGGTTTTTGTTTCTGTTTTTGTTTACACAGAGATTTTTGCTATAAGGTGCGTGTGCTTGCTGGAGAGACAGAAAGCGACAAATCACCCCCCAGGGGAGATGGCCACATCACAATCCCTTCTCCTCCATTTTTCTCTCAGGATTTTGGGCATGCACACACATGTACCAAGTGAGGGTTTTAAGCCACCAGGTCCAGGACTCGAACTGCAGTCAACTAAGTGGGAGTCCAGCAACGTAACCATTGCACCACTTGCTGGTCCCCGTTTCCATTCTTAACCTGTATCCTTCCCCTTTTTGTCCCTGTGACTCTCTGGGCCTCGGTGTCCCTGTCTCTGTTTCTCCCCAGGTTTGAGTCTCTCTGTCTCTCCATCTCGCTCTGCCTTTGTGTGTGTCTCTCTCTGTGTCCCCAAATCTTTTGTTTTTAATTGCCAGAGGGCACATGTGCTCATGAGAGAGAGGGTGAGGGAGATAACAGGACGTGGCCACGCCGCAGTCCCCTCCCCACTTCTCCACCCTGTCGGGGTTCTGGGCATGTGCACACGTGCCTGGCATGTTTGTCAAGCCTCATGGCACCGGGGGCCAGCCCTGCCCCAAGACTTCCACTTCAGCGCTGACCGTCTCTCCCTCCCCGTCTCTAACTCTCCGTGTCTGCCTCTGCCTCTCCCTGTCTCTTTGGGGTTCTGAACCTGACTGTCTCTCTCTTTCCCACAGGGCGACTCTGGGGGTCCACTGGTGTGCGGAGACCGCCTCCGAGGCCTTGTTTCATGGGGGAACATTCCCTGTGGCTCGAAAGAGAAGCCAGGTGTCTACACGGATGTCTGTAGATATGTCAACTGGATCCAAAGAACGATTCAGGCCAAGTGACCCCGACACGTGACATCAACCCTTGACCTTCAACCCCACTGGCTGGCTCCAGACAACTCTTCACCTCCAGACCTTGCCCTCCCTCTGCCTGCGCAGACCTGACCCTGACGCTTGCTAAAGGCAATGACACCAAGCACAGCCGCTCCCCGAACCCCGAACCCCGTCCGCTGAGAGCCAGAGGGTGCAGGAAGAGCCCCGGGATCGCTCCCTCCCTGCTTCGTGTGTGCTTGGCTTCTTCCTGCAGAGCGGTGGCCACCAGCCTGACTAGGCCTGAGCTGTGGTCCCAGCTCCGCCCTGTACCCTCCTTCCTCCTTCCGGGTAGAGGGTTCCTCCGTCGGGTAGGGTGTGTCCTCCGTGTCCTCCGGTCTCACACGCCGACCAGGTGCTCAATAAAGAGTGTGTTTTCTTCTTCGTGGTGCTCCTTGATTTCGTCCCACTCCGCCTCCCTGAAGCCAGATGCTCTCTGTTCTCCTTTAGAGCCCTAGTCCACGCTTCTTTCCAGAAAGTACCCTGACCCCCCACCTTGTGCGGGCCCTCGGGAGGGCACTCTCCCTGGGCTTCCCTAGAAGCAGCAAAAATAGGGAGGTGAGAGGGCTGGGAGGCCACCGTGTATGCGGAAGCCAGTAGGAGATGAGGCGGGAGAGAACGGCAGGGCCAGGCCCCGGAAGACCCCAGACACCAGCCCGAGAGACTGGACTCTCCTGAGGGCGATGGGAGCCATAGAAGAGTTGTGAGCGGGAGCAGCACTGGGGCCATTTGAAAGATGGATAAGATGGTGAGCCCTGAGCCTGGGAGGCCAGGGAGGAGGGAGGGAGAGGAGAGCTGGGTGGGGAGTGCTGGAGAAAGGAAGCCGGAGACGAGGCCAATATCTGGAGAACCAGTGGACGGTACTCCCTCAGGGGGAGAAGTGAGAAAACCTGGGGTGAGGACACCTGCAACCCCGGAGGCTGGAGGCTGGCGTCTGCGGCAGGGGAAATGGGCAACATGCCAAGCAGAAGGCGGACTTGAGACTGAGAGCCTTTGGAAAGGAGGCCCCGGGGTCAGATCCGGGCATCAGAAAGACCGAGCTGAGACCCACCTGAGGCGGGGAGCAGGCTGAGGAGAGATGAAGTGCTCCCCGAAGAAAAGAGGGGTGCAGACGGGCAGAGCGGATGAGGATCCAGCCCCCCACACCATGAGTGCTGTCACACCAGTGCACACACTTCTGTCCCCAAAGGCCTGTCCTTGCCCTGACCAGGGACACCTTCTCCCACAGCCCCCACCGCAGCACCTCGGAGGGAAACAGAGGGGGCTCTAAGCCAGGCCTCCTCCGGTGAGGTGAGCAGGGCAGGTGGAGGCTCCCCAGAGGCAGGGAGGAAGGCCAGACCTGGGGGCTGAGTCAGGAACCGAGAAACGTTTAGGAATGGGAAGAATCGGAGTTTTCACCGCTGCCTTCTCATCCAGCACAGAGTAGGACGAGGCTGGACGTCGCTAAACCTCGTAGCCACACCGTGAGGGACACTCAAAGCCAGTCGTGGCGTTTCATGATGGAAGAGGCTTGCAAAGACGGGGCGAGTATAAAAAGTCTTTGGGGGACCAGCAGGTGGCATAGTGGTCAAGAGGCTGGACTCCCACGTGGTCAGTCGTGGTTGGAGTCCTGAACCCTGTGGGTTGAAAATCATGCTGGACACATGCGCATGTGTATCCGAAATCCTGGGAGGCGAAGGGATTACAGCGTGGACATGCCCCTGGGCGGTGGTGGGAGGGATTTCTCATCCCCTCTCTCTGTTTCTGTCTCTCTGGAAAGCTCACACATCCTATGGCAAAAACTTTAAGATAAATAAATAAACAAGTAACTAAAAGGTTTGGGGGTTACCTCGTATATGCTTACATGGGAGGAGCCACACGGACACCGCTCCAGAGCCATCGACGTGCAGAGTCTTCAAGGGGACCCGAGGGAGGAAGAGGCTGACTTTCACAAGTGGCCACAGACAGGAAGTCACGGGAATGGCCTGGCCCCCCTTGACCGCCCTCCTTTTCGTGTTGTGAATGATCAATAGGGTCATGGCTTTCACTAGGGTCCCCTGGAGGGCCCAGTCAATGGCTGCCCAGCCTGTCCGTCCAGGCGGGGCCGGGTACTGGTGCAGAGGTCAAACACAACGCTCTGGGGGACCCACCCGCAAGGCAAGGTTCCGAATTAGTGCCAGGAGACCTCCCCGTGATCCAGGGCTGGCCAAGGCTGGGAGCCGATCGCAGAGTCGAGACCCCGCTGGGGCTGCTGTCTCTCTGGGTCTCTGTCTTTCTCTCACTCATGAAGAAATAACTCTAAAAATATCAACACCAAGTCATCAAGGGGAGCTGTCTTACTTCATGGATAAGCATTGGGTTGTTGGAGAAGTCATCATGCAGTTTTCACATAGGTGGTGTAATGGTTAAGGGAGCTGGACTCCCACGTGGCCGACTGTGGTTCGAGTCCCAGGCCTGGTAGCTTGCTTTCTCGCTCTCGCTCATCAAATTAAAAAATAAATAAATAAATAAAGTTAAATAAAATAATTCTTAAAAAAAAAAAAAGAAAAACACATCATGACTTTCCCAACAACCTAATAATATCAATAATTTTAAAAAAATCCTTATTAGCACATGCCAGGTACCTTACATATATTAACAAATTCGATCCCCACAGCAAGCCTGTGAGGGAGGTACCATTAGTCTGCCTTTATAGACAGAGAGCTAAAGCCCGGAGGATCCGGGGCGTGCCCAGTGCTCACAGCTAGTAAGGGGCCACGTCAGAATTTAAAGGCCAGGGGACTGGCAGTGTAATTTGGGCTGCTCCCTGCTCTTCTATACTGGAATCTTCTTTCAATTCTGATATTTCTTAGATTGAATTGAACATGGAAATATTTGAAAATCCAACCCTTAACATTAATGCTTCTTTTTTTTTTTTTTTCGGAGAGAGATTTTTGCTATAGGGCGCATGCACTAATCAGAGAGACAGAAAGTGAAAAATCCCCCCCTGGGGGGGGGGTGGCCATGCCATAATCCCTTCTCAGTCTCCTCTCAGGATCTTGGGCGTACACACACGTGCATCCAGTGTGAGTTTTAAGCCACTGGGTTCAAGACTCAAACTGTGGTCGACTATGTGGGAGTCCAGAAACACAACCATCACACCATCTGCTGGTCCGACAGTAATTCTTATTTTGATTAAAAAATTCTCCGCATGTTTGGTATTTAAGATACTTGTGTATCTAAGAGAATTTTACCTGTTATAGGCCAGCCTTATGACTTCAGCTTGAAATGTGTAATAGAGCTGTGATTCTGACAGTCTTTAATCTGTGCTGAAGCTGTATCAAGTTTATATTGGGATATTATTTATTTATTTTTAAAGAATTATTTACTTTTACTTATTAGTGTTGTTCTTTTTTTTTTTCTTTCTTTCTTTCTTTTTCTTTTTTCTTTTTTTTTTTTTTGGGGGTTTTTGCTATAGGTGCTCGCCAGAAAGACAGAAAGAGGAGAGAGACAGCAAGGGAGTTAGCGTAATGGCTATGTCGCTGGACTCCCATGTAGTCGATCGCGGTTTGAGTCCCAGACCTGGTGGCTTAAACTCACACCGGGCGCGTGTGCGTGCGTGCCCAAGATCTCGAGAGGAGAATGGAGGAGAAGGGATTGCGGTGTGGCCATCCCCCCTGGGGGGTGATTTCTCACTTTATCTCTCTCCCTCTCTCTCTCTCTTTCTGGCTAATCCACATGCCCTATAACAAAACAAGAAAGAAAGAGAAAGAAGAAAGAACGAGAAAGAAAGAAAAAGAGAGAAAGAAAGTAGAAAGAGAGAGAAGAAAGGTAGGAAGAAGCGAGGAAGAGAAAGGTATATCTAGAATTTTCTAAACGGGGCTGTGAGCTGGAGTTAAAAGACTAAGAAGACATCGGTTGCAGCTTTTGTCGTTTTAAGGCATGATTCCTACGAGTAAAATACACCTCTGAATCGGTTTCTGTGGCTTCCGGTTTTCCCCTGGGTCCAACACCTGCCTTCAGGACCCATCACCTCCCATTCAGCAGGCTGGGGTAAGCGAAGTGAGCCAGAGCGGGTTTCTGGCCGAAGGCCGAAGGTGTGAGACCATGACCACAGCAGGGCCGCACCTCCAGGAGCCTTTGTCATTTTGGACAGGGACAGAGCGGAGCCCGGTGCACCGCAGGCAAAGGTTTAGTTGTCCCGTCCTAGCAAGGACAGGGACCTAGAGGCAGAGTGAGACAGAGAGAGGACTGGGGCAGACAGGAGCAAGCGCTCAGGGCCGCCAGGCCTGGGGCGGGGGAAGCCGCCTTTCCTGCTCCGCACCCAGCGCCCCATTTCCTAAGGGGCCGGGAGCACCGGCCTCCAGTCCTGCCCTCCTGGCCTCTTTCCCCATCAAAGTGGCCCTGCCCAGCTGTCACCCACGCCCGCCTGTGCCCGCCCAGCAGAGGTGGCCCCAGACCAGGTCCTGGGTCTTTAGCTGTAGCTGGGCATGGGTGGGGGGACAGAAGAAGGGGTGACGTGTTCGCTCTGTTCCCTTGCCCAGTGTGCAGGTGAGGAAGGCAGACAGGTACAGAGGCAGATGGCAGAGCCCACCATGGGGGTGGGAGGGCCAGAACAGAAGACAGAGTCCCAGAAAAAGGGACGTAAGGTGGAGAGACAGAGAGGGAGAGACACAAAGCGAGACACAGAGGTGGAGAGGGAGGTCACTAGAGAATCACTGCAGGCTCCTGTGAGGGGCGAGGGACACTTGGGGACAGCGGGTATGTTTATCCTGGGATGGTGCTTCGCCGCCGTGTACGTGCGCCTGTGCGTGTGCGTGTGCGTGTGGAAACTCCGCACGCCGCACAGCCTGCCGCGCCTCACCTACGCCCGAAGAGCCCTGAACTAATAAAGCGGAAGGGCCGCAAAGGCGGGGGCTCCGGGGCACACGTGACAAGCGCGACACCGAGAACCATTAAAAAGAGGCTCAGAGACAGGGTGAAGGGTAAGACACAGCCGCACAGACAGGGAGGAACAGAGAGACAGAGACACCGGAGACACACAGACAGAACGGGGCCCAGGAGGAAAGAGAGAGTGAGACAGAGACAGAGACAGAGACGTGGGAGCAGCTCACGTGGGGGGAGCCCAGAGAGACAGCGGGGGAAGAGTTAGAGACAGCAGAGACAAAGAGGAAAGCGGGTTGGAGGCTGGCCGTGAGCGGGGTGAGGGAAAGGCCAGGGAAGGCAGGACTGCGCAGAGAAGCGCCCCCGGAGCTGGTGGGGAGCGGATCGCGGATCCCATGAAGCCAGGACCGGCAGGAGGCGGACTGGTCTGGCTGCCCAAGACCCCTCCCCATCCTCGTGGCCAGGGAGGAAGGGAGCGGCCCTGGGACTGGGTGGGGGGCACCTTGG